CCAACAAATTCACAACCACAAAAAGATAAGAATCGCAAAGACAACACGCTTTTATCATATGCCATTCGTGTCGCAAAGTATATCAAAGGTGTAGAAAGAAAGAGGGCTCTGATTTTTGCGTTAGACGCATTGTTGGAAAAAAAAAAAAGAATTGGGATTGTAACGTAATTTTGCTTATTGTTATTGTTAAGATCCTTATTTTGTTAGGTCTTCATTATTAGAGATGTTAATATTAATATTTTTGATTTTGATTTTTTTAACTTTTTGTAAACGTGTTTGATTGTTTAAGTGTAAATATATGGTGTTAAGACTCATTGGAAAAATTATTAAGCGTTAACAGTTATTACTGATCGGCCGTCTATACAAAGAGCTAACAGTTATCGTTATTACATATTGTATTGTGTTAAAGTAATTGTTGTAAACATACAGCTGATTTTAATCGGCAATGAAAAGCAAAAACTAAAGTAATAACATAGGAACTCTATAGAAACCTTTGTTGCTTTGTAAAAGGGACATCTTTATTTATTATAATTTGTTGTTATTTGTACGATAAATTGTGCTTGCAAATTCACCAAAGCTTTCTAGGTACAAGAAAGAGGCAATAAGCAGGATTTCGTAAAATAACTTATTTGACGAGCATTGTATATATAAAAGCTTGCAATTAATCGACGAGTGTAGCAAAAAGTTAACTCAAAATCGACTATAAGTCCAGTCTGGACTGGTCTCAAGATAGGACTTCCCGTACCAGGACCAGAGCGGACGGTCAAGGACCGATTAACATCTCTAATCATTATCATTTTCCCAATCGATAACATTGTTATTCCTTTCTTTTGATATCTGAAAAAAGTCTTGATGGATCAGGTTAAAAATGTTAAAAAAATAAATTTTTTCTTTTTGAACGTGTTTTCAATAGTATTAAAGTTTTGTTCAATAGATTATTCATTAAAACATCATAATAAGATAGAGTTGAGTTGATTGATATTTGTTATCAATAACGTTGTTATATAGTAATTATGTTAATTTTTTACTTTTTATGGTTTTTTTGGTTGCTTCCTCAAAAAATGTAAGATTTTTTTTTGTATTGCTATAACGATGGCAATGAGAATATACATAATTATATTTTAGATTTACATATTAATATTATATTTTTTAGTTTATAAAGTTGTCCTACTGAATGACGTAATCGAAATTAAAAAAAAATTTTTTGATTTGAAAAAAAAAAAACATGTCTGAAGGAAAATTAGAGAAACCTGAACAAGACTTTACGCAACTTGTTGATAAACAGTTACCAGAAACTGAGACATTGGCCACGGTATATATATGAGATTTGAATTAAATAAAATAAATCTAATTTAACATTTTATTCAATATAGCAAGGGCTTCTTTCAGAAGCTTTAGAACAGTTATTGGGACTTGAAAAGCAAACACGTCAGGTATTTACTTTTCATTATTTTTGGAGGAAAAAAAGTTATTTCATTCAATTATTATAAAATTTAATTTTTTGAAATTTAGGCAGCTGATTTAGCTTCTTCTACTCGTGTATTAGTTCACATTGTTAAATTATGTTATCAGGCAAGGGACTGGAAATTATTAAATGAATATGTAATATTACTCTCAAAGAAGCATGGACAATTGAAACAGGTACAAATATTCTTTTTAATTAAATTAGATGCCTTTTTATCAAGCAACAAAAGAAATAATGAAAGAATCAGAAGAGAATTCACTCCAATAATTGATCTCAATTCATTCGATTATTTTAGGCAATCACAAAAATGGTTCAAGAAGTCATGACTTATCTTGATGATACACCAGATAAACCAACAAAACTAGAGTTAATCGATACTTTGCGTACAGTTACTGAAGGAAAAGTATGTGTAGATTAAATTGATTTTGTTTCAAACAATAATACTGTCATATTATATTTATTTATACATATGTGTATGTGTGTATATA